CTGTTTCTCTGTCTCTGGCTTTCTGGTGAGCACGCACACCCTGTAGCAAAAACCTCTCAAAAAAAAAAAAATCTCTATAAGGATTTTTTTGGACTAGAAAATATTAGAAATAAACTCATTAGTTTGGTGTATGAAGAAACAATTATTTCATTTGCCTCATAAAATCTTTATTTCAACAATCCTTCTATTACGACAGGGCTTCTGGTTGGGACTCTTGATTCAGTCTTAGACTCTACTGCGAAAGTAGCTCCATTTCGCATCCTACACCAAACGCCAGATTCTCAAGTTTACTTGTCAATTGCATGTGGTGAGTATATGGTTTTTGAAACATATAATTCAGATTAAATAAAGATTGTAAGACACTGAATATATTCACTATTTATATTCTATAGAATTAGCATCTTATTGTCTATAGAATTAAGTGAATTAAATGTGTAAGAATCCTTTGAGAGTGTAGGAAGACTTCTATTTATTTAAGAAGGATTATTAATTAAGATTTTAAAAAATCCATTGGTGTGAGGGAGCTGAACCATGTGGTCCAGCAGTGCTGATTCTGAATGAATTTTGGTCAGTGCTATTGCTATGTGACTCCTTTCTTCAGCTTCTGCTTTACCCAGCTTCTGGGGAGATGAACTTATCCATGAAATATATTATTTCATTTCTAGTAATCCAGATGAGGAGAATCTGAAATTAACTGTGAGCCCAAAACTTAAAAATATCATTTAAGGAAATATAAGCCTGAAAATTTCAGTTTCTTAAATTCACATGCCTACTTTCTCATGAAAGACATTGTATCCTTGAAATATGAAGGAATATCTTAGAGGTTATGCTGCATATTCATTTATGCTTGGATGGTTCAGACATGCCCACCTATTTATTGTGGGTAAAGAAGAAATTAGAGTAATTCTTCCTAATATACCAAATCAAGATATATTTTTAAAAATCTGTCATGATATTGTGTTACTTTTTTATCATGTCATTATAATGTTTGTCTAAATTAGAATCCCAGATTTGTAACCTTTTTAATGTGGCAAGATGGCCTTTTTCTTTCTTCCCCCCTCCTTTCTAAAGTACATTTAATTTTGTTTTCAAGGTGTTTTGCTATTGGATGCATGTATTCTCCGGAGAGAGGGAAAGTGAGAAGTCACCCCCTGGAGGATGGCCATGCCACAATCCCTTCTCTAGTTTCCTCTCAGGATTCTGGGCATACACATACACACACACATCCAGTGGATTTTCAAGCCGCTGGGTCTGGAACTCAAGTTTGGTCCACCATGTGGGAGTCCAGTACCTTAACCACTATACCACCTGCTGGCCCCAGTAGATTTAATTAAAAAAAAATAATTTCTAGGGACCAGCAGTTGACGTAATGACTATGTTGCTGGACTCCCATGTAGTCGACCATGGTTCAAGTCCTAGACCTGGTCCAGGTGACTTAAACTCACACTGGGTGCATGTGTATGCGTGCCCAAGATCCTGAGAGGAGAATGGAAGAGAAGGAATTGCAGCATGGCCATCCCCCCAGTGGGTGATTTCTCATTTTCTATCCTCCTGTCTCTCTCTGTCTTTCTGGCAAGCGCACACACCCTATAGCAAAAATCTCTCCAAAAATAATTAATTTCTAGACAGTTCATTTGTATGAAATGTAGCATACTTTTTTTTTTTTTTTTGGGGTGGTGGTTTTTTTAAAAGGTGTGTAGTTTTTTTTTTTTTTTAATTTCTCTGTAAGCTTCCTCTAGTGTTACTAGTGAGTCTTTTCTTGGGACTTTCTTAAAATCAAATGTTGTTTAAACTAAATGTAGATGGCATTACACTAATGGACATCACCAAAATTCTTTAGTCTCAACTCTAAATCTGGTTGGTAGAAATTGCTTAGGAAAAAAAAATGTTCTACTTACAAAAAAAGGGGATGGTTGTATAACTTAATACCACAAGTTAATATAGCAGTTACCCACCAGTGAAACTTCCTTATACCTAAAGGATAAAAACAAAGGCCTTAAAATTTCCTCTTGGCTTTTATTTGTGGTTCAATAAAGAAAATTATAACTTATTATGGTGACTTTAGTGAAATGAATAAAATTCTAACTGAATTGTAGGAAACAGGCAATTTTAAATCATTGGTAATTTTTTTTTATGTCAGTCTTGATATATCATAAAATGTACTAAGAAGTCAAGATACTTCTTTTGAATGAGTTTTGTATAGTCACAATGCTAGGAAGATTTTTAATGATATGTGGGTAATAAGGGAGAGTGATAGATATTGAAATGTTCTTCAAGCCAAAACAATCAGGAGCTAGTAATATTTCCTTGACAGTCAATAAGTCATGGCAACATTAATTCAGCTGGTGACATGGGTTTAAGCTTACTCTAAGGTTTCTAACCTCTTTTATGAAATTTCTTTAAATTTACTAGGAGTTTTAAAGAATGGGATGACTGATCAAAGATTTCATGCCTTCTGAAATAAGTCGAGTGACTACAGTTGAAACCAATATTTACACAACATGCATAAGATTATCACATGCATGCCATTTTTACCTATATATATTGTAGGCACAGATTAAATATTATCTGAAGACAAAGAACTGAATTATATTTATATGTTTCCTGGTACTCAACATGTTCTCTCTCTTTATAAAAAATTACTAATTTAATTTAATTTCTTCTTATTATTTTTTAAAATTTGCTCTAGGGCATGCATACTCACAAGAGAGAGAAAAAGCCACCAGGTCCGGGACTCGAACTGCGGTTGGTCATGTGGGAGACCAGCGCCTTAACTACCACACCACCTGCTGGCCCCCTACATGTTTTATTTAAAAATACTGTATTGTTTAGGCATCAATTATTGGCATCTTGTTTTTAGAATTGTGTATCTTTCCTTATGAGCTATATTTACTTTCTTCCCCTTCATTAAGTATTTTATTCTGTCTATTTACAACAATCAATGCTATTCATGTTCACATATGGGGATAAAGTAGAAAATAAATGTAATACCTTTATTCCTTGATGACTATCACTTAAAAGTCATCAAATAAAATTTTATTTATTTTTAAACTAAACTTGTAAATATCAAGAAGAATTTTGTTGTGCTTTCCTGAGTCTTTTATTCTTTGATATTATTAATCAGGAGCCAACAGAGAAGAAATAACCAAGCATTGGGATTGGTTGGAACAAAATATCATGAAGACCTTATCTGTATTTGATTCAAACGAAGATATTACTAATTTTGTACAGGGAAAGATAAGGGTAAGTGGCATGGATATATTTAATAGAATACTAAAATCTTTGACTCTCTTATATAAAGATCACTAAAATATTTGACTCTTATATAAAAAGATCAGAGGTTATGTGAAAGATCATTGTTTTACTGGCATCTTTCAGAATTGAAAGAAGAATGCATATCGATGTCAGAATTAGTGCTAAAGAAAATTGTAGAGACAGTGGTTTGTCTTTGGTGCCTTTATGAGTCCTCTTAGGGACTGTTTCATAGTTTCAAGTTTGAATAAACTGTTCATTCAAAAGAAGATATTTAGCACCTATGTTTGTGGTATCTCCTTGTGAATCATTAGAAAAAAACTAAGTAAAATAATTAAGAAAATCTGTTCATCTCTGTCCCAAAAGAAGTATATATGTGTACACGCATATATACAAATATAAGATATTTGTAGCTGTATAGATGTATATAGTTGTATTCATTTAGCTGTTTAAAATTAGATATATGAAGTATATTTTTGTTGATGTATGACAGTGAATTTTCAGAAAATATTTTGTCTTCTCTAGGGATTAATTGCTGAAGAAGGAAAGCATTCTTTTGCAAAAGAAGATGACCCTGAGAAATTTCGAGAAGCCCTTTTGAAATTTGAAAAATGTTTTGGTTTACCAGAGCAGGAGAAATTAGTGACTTACTACTCCTGCAGTTATTGGAAAGGACGGGTCCCTTGTCAGGGTTGGCTCTATCTTAGCACCAACTTTCTGAGTTTCTATTCTTTTTTGTTGGGATCAGAAAGTAAGTGGTTTCTATTGCTTACCATGGATTTGAACTTACTAATCTATCAACTTTGTGGTGGTGTTAGGCTGAATATAAAGTAATGGAATTGATATTACAGATAATTAAAGTTCATTTCATCTGGAGAAGTAATCCTTTTATTTTTTTTAAGAATTATTTATTTATTTATTGGACCAGCAGTTAGTGTAATGGCTATGTCGCTGGACTTCCATGTAGTCCACTTTAGTCCATTTATTAATCCTTGTTTTAAACATATAATGTACGTATAGTAGCCATAGTACCTAATGACTCACTTCTCACTTGCAGTCACAAAGATGAATCAAACAGTATTGTTTATAGCATTCCTACAGATTTTTTTCCCAAAGGATTATTTATTTAATTTTATTAATTCATTTGTTTTTAATTTGACAGAGAAAGGCACAGAAAGAGAAAGTGAGAAAGCAAACCACTAACTAGGTGTAGGACTTGAACTGTGATCAGCCATGTGGGAATGTCCAGCCTCTTAACCACCACGCCACCTGCTGGTTCCAACAGACATCTTTTATACCAGTAGTTATTCTAATTAGGTAGTTAAATAAACAGACTTAAATAGCAAATCAGAGCTTTTCTGACTGAGTGTTCTCCTGTCCTTTGGGTAGATACCCAAGAGTGGAATTGCTGGGTCATACGCTAGTTCTATTTGAAGGTCACTGATGAACCTCCACATGGTTCTCCACAGTGATTGGACCAGTTTACATTCCTACTAACAATGGAAATGTTGGTGGGAACATCCCTGCCAGCACTTATCATTTTCTTTTTTTAATCTTCACCATTCTGACTGAGGTTAGGCGGTATCTCATTGTAGTTTTGATCTGCATCTCCCTTCTGATGAGGGATATTGAGCATTTTTTATATGCTTTTTGGCTGTTCATATGTCTTCCTTAGAGAGTTGTTTTATTTATTGTGGCCTTATTCACAATTGCTAAGACATGAAACCAACCCAAATGTCCACAAACAGATAAATGGACTGAAAAAGTATGCCACATATACTCCATAGAATACTGTGCAGCTATAAAAAACAAATCCCTGGCATTTGATAGAAAGTGGACAAATATGGAAGATTTATTGCTGATTGAAGCAAGTCAGGCTATGAAACAGAGATGTTGTATGTCTCCACTTAACATTTACCAATTGTCCGCACTCTATGGTAGAAACGGCAAGACTGGAGGATATAAAAGCATTGAAAATTGTTATGGACACTAGGGACAAAGTAGAAGAACAGTGGGAGAGGGCAAGAGTGTAGGCATCCCCCCTAGGGGGTGATTTCTCATGTTAAACTGTCAAGAATTATGGAGTATGAGCTAAAATTTTTTGCTATGTAAAGTAAATGTTTGTGGAAAATGTAAAAATAAATAAATGAAAGAAAAAAATATAAAAAAATTTAAAAAAGAGTGTAGGAAAGGAAATTTGGGGGAAAATAGAGGTAAGACATTTGTGAGACACAGATATGGTTTATTACCTGTTGATGATGATGTGTATCATATTCTCAAATGGGCTGGACTGAAGAGTATGTCATGCTGGGTAAAGTCTCTTTACAAACTAAATGATGTATAGCGATTGAATATAAATAATAATAATAATTATTATAAACCTCACAGATTATAACTGCCAGGGCCATTGAGCTGTTCTTTCTCTGTCCGCTCAGGCCTGCTTCTACCTCTCAAGAGTGTACTTTTGCTTTTACTTAATAAACTATCCTTTGCTTTCATAAACAACAACAAAAAAATTAAATCAGCATAATTTTAAAAAATTCTTTGAGATTATGGGACCAGCAGTTAGCATAATGGCTATGTCGCTGGACTCCCACATAGTCAACCACAGTTCGCGTCCTGGACCCAGTGGCTTAAAACTCACGCCGGGTGCGTGTGTGTGCATGCCCAAGATCCCAAGAGGAGAAGGGATTGCAGCGTGACCATCCCCCCGGGGGTGATTTCTCGCGTTCTATCTCTCTTTCTCTCTCTGTCTGTCTGGCGAGCACACGCACCCTATAGCGAAAACCTCTCCCCCCCCAAAAAAAAATTCTTTGAGATTATATCTGTTCCTAGAATCACCAGTTGTTTTATATTCTTGATGATGCTTCAAAATTTTGACTAATCTTAAAGTATTTTAGCTGTTATAGCATCTTTCAAGTAATTATTGTTTCAAAAGACCTGATTAATGAACATAGATCAATACTGAGAATTTAATCAGACTGACTTATAACTCTTACTTGCAGTAAAACTCATTATCTCCTGGGATGCAGTCTCAAAACTTGAAAAAACTTCAAATGTCATACTGACAGAGAGCATTCATGTGTGTTCCCAAGGGGAGGATCACTACTTTTCAATGTTTTTGCACATTAATCAGACATATCTTCTTATGGAACAGCTGGCAAACTATGCCATCAGGAGACTTTTTGATAAAGAAACGTTTGATAATGACCCAATCCTTGATGATCCTCTACAAATCACCAAAAGGTATTCAGAGCTTAATTTTTACTTTTTAAAGTATAGTTTGACTATAAGAATGTTAACATTGATTAGCTTAAAATGTTAACTGTTCTATGTTATATGACAGTTTTTATTTGGAGTTAATCATTGATGTTCTTTTTTTGTTAGTTTATTCATATGCATTTCACTTATGGTATCCTATGAAATTTAATCTTAAATAATAGAAATGAGGATTGAAAATTTTTTTGAGATGCAGATAAAATTTGTCCTCAGTACTTTTAGAAATGTAGAGATATTTGTGTGAGTGGTTGGGCTAACTTTAAATTTCTTGATGAGTAGTCTACATAGTTTCAAGTCTGAAATTGTTATGTGTATTGTTTATTTATTTATTTTAGAGAGATTTTTGCTATAGGGCACATGTGCTCACCAGAGAGATAGAGAGTGACAGACAGACAGAAAATGAGAAATTACTCCCCAGGGAAGATGGCCACACTGCAGTCTTTTCTCCTCCATTCTCCTCTTGGGAATTTGGGCACATACACACTCATGTCCACTGTGAGTTTCAAGCCTCTGGGTCCGGGACTTGAACCACTGTAGACTATGTGGGAATACAGCAACAACACTATTTTGCCATCTGCTGGTCCCTGTATTGTTTATTTTTTAAAATAATTTATAGATAGCATAATTGTTTAGAAAGAGGCAAGTTAGTGGAACTTGGACTTTGGAATGAGACTAGAACAACTCTTAAAGTCATAAGCTCTTAGGACCTCAGTTTCCTCATCTGCCACTTCTAAATCTGAAGACACTAAGGAGAAATTAGTAAAATAATGTGAAATCACATGGTATAATATAAAACATTAGGTAGGTATTAATAATTATTTTTGCCTTTCTGATAGCTGTTTGTCACTATATTTGGTTTTCTGAAACTGACCAAAGCCCTTTCGTCCTGCTCAGTACTCAGAACAGTTGATTAAAAGGAGCATGCTAAAGGGGAAGGGGAGAGGAGTGGATTCAGAAATAGATAGTGAAAGTAACTTCTGACAAGGAGGGTGAGGATATAGATTGTATAGGAAAGTGTAAGAGGAACCTAGGCAAAATTCCTATGGATAGACCAGAACAAGTGACCTGGAGGGTTGTATGATTATTATGTAGGCTAGTTGAGTATAATCATTCCTTAATCATCTCTAAAATCCATATATATAAGGATTCCTTTGTGAGCCTGCTTGCTTTTCTGGAAATTAGATCAGCAAGGTGATTTTTTTATACTTTATTACTAAATTAGGTCTCAGTGTGCATGATTTATTAATAGAATTCTATGATAATTAAGAATCCTGTTTGTGTTATATTATAGTCGTACATCTGTTTTTGCAGTTAATTCCTTGATTGACCACCATAAGCAAACTTTTTAGCCATTTTATTCTCAAAATATCTCCTAAGAGACCACCTATCAATGAGTTAGTCATTACCAAGTCTGTGTTTAAATGACATTTTGTTTATGTGCCTTTTTAAGAGAGCTTATTAAAAATCATATATATCTAAACGTTATTTTCTAGTAAGTTAAAAAGAACAGTAATTTTTTGAGGCTTAGTTTCCATATTGCTTTTTTCTAATATGGAGTATCTTTTACTACTTCTGCTTATTGGCTTATTGTCTTTACAAATACATATTACCTTTTTGGCTTTTTTTTTTTTGCGAGAAGTTTTTGCTAGACGGTGTGTGCACTCACCTGAAAGACAGAGAGAGACAGAGAGACAGAAAGCGAGAATTCACTCCCCAGGGGGGATGGCCACGCCGCAATCCCTACTCCTCCTTTCTCCTCTCGGGATCTTGGGCACGCACGCACACGTGCCTGGCGTGAGTTTAAGCCATCAATCAGGTCCAGGACTCGACCCACAGTTGACTACATGGGAATCCAGTGACAGCCATTATGCTAACTGCTGGTCCCGTATTAACTATATAATACTAATGCTAGTTTAGTGTATGTCCTTCTAGACTTTTTAATGCACGAATTAAAATACATTTGCAAGAAACATGAAACAGTACTGAACATCATGCATTATTCTACACTCTGCTTTTTTCCCCTTATAATAATATATCATAGATATCTATGCACTCCCACAAATGGGCTTCATCTCTTCAAATAATAGTAAAATAACCCAGCAAATTACAATTTAAATGGGGTAAAAACTAGCCTGATTATCTGATCATATTTATCAGAGTTCTTTTGAAAAATATCATGAAATACCACACATTCGAATAGTATATGCAGGAAATAAGATTTTAGTTCTAACTTGTTGGATTTGAGTTAAAACTTGCATAATTTGTATACTGTCCAGATAGTGTTGCTCTTTAGCCTAAGTGTTTAGTGCCCCTAGAAAAAATTGTATCGTTTAAAACAATTGCCATGATCAATTAACAAGTCATTTGTATTTATTGACACCTATCCTGTGCTCAGTACTTTTAAGTGCTGTTGTTTTATTGTGCCTCTACTTTAGATTTTTAGAACATTCATTTGGATTTTAACTTTACTTAATTTTAATATTCTCTTTTATAGACTACTTTTTTCCTCTCATTGTTTTTTAATTTTCCAGTAGGCATGTGTACTCATGAGAGAGACAGAGAGAGGACGTGGGAGAAAGCACCCCCCAATGGAGCATGATCATGACACAAGTCATTCTCTTCCATTTGTCCAACCTGTCAGAATTTGGGGCCCTCACGTGCATTTGCTTGGCATGTTTTTCAAGCTGCTGAATCCAGAATTCAAACTGCACAGTTGGGCATGTGGGATCTGGCTCTCTTAACCAGTAGTCAGTGGGCCTGCCCCTCACTCTCAATTCTGATCCCATAAGTTTTCATTATTTAATTTTGTTTGAACTGGGTAACTCTCTATTTTATGATAACTAGGTATGAAAATTACTGTCTGCCAAGATTAGTTTGAACCAAAGTCACATATTATGTATATATAATGATAGTGTTTCAGCAAATCCCTTCTTAACAGATGGTTTGAAGACCCATGCTGTCTTTCTTTTGTGAATTTTAATCTACTGATAAAACAAAGTTAGAAAAAAGAACAATCAAAATGATTTTATTAGGAATCTGTGTTTATTTTTTCATTTCAGAATTTGTTGAAGAATCCTATATTCATAAGGTTTACTGTTTAATCCGTCTGCTCTACAGTTTATTTAGATTATTCAATATAGGCATGTTTATATTTTTGAATTCATTGTTTGAGTCCTACCTCTTTATACCCTTTCCTACAGAGGTCTGGAAAATCGAGCCCACAGTGAGCAATTTAATGCCTTTTTTAGGCTACCCAAAGAAGAAACTTTGAAAGAAGTACATGAATGTTTCTTATGGGTACCATTCAGCCACTTCAATACTCATGGAAAAATGTGCATCTCTGAAAACTATATCTGTTTTGCTAGCCAAGATGGCAATCTTTGTAGTGTAATAATTCCATTGCGAGAGGTAATGTAATTTTGGTTACATATCTGTTTTCAGTTTGAAAGTATTAGCATTCACTGAGTAAAATGTCTTTTCATTCTGTAAACTCTTTTTTTTTAAAGAATTATTTATTTAATTTTATTTATTATTATTATTTTAATTTGCTACAGGGCACATGCACTCACCAGAGAGAGAGAGAGAAAGAGAGAAAGCAAGCTGCCAGGTCTGTTACTCAAACTGCATAGGCCATGTGGGAGTCCAGCACCTCAACCACCATGCTACCTACTGGCCCAATTCGGTAATTTATTAAAAATTCAATATGAAATATCCTTTTAATAATTTAAAGTAATCATTTTTGGAGGCAAGCTCTATGGCACAATGGTAATGCACTGCTTAAGAGAAGCTGGATCTCACATGGTGATGTGGTTTGAACCCTCTGCCCAATAAGCCTGAAAAATGCCAGGCAGGCATTCCAAAAATCCAGTGGGTTGGAGAATGGGAGGAAGGGAATCACATTGTGACCAGGCCCTGTAGAGGGTACTTCTCTCTGACTTTTCTCTCTCTTTCTCTCTCATGCATATGAATATCTTCTATCATGAATAAAGAAAACAAAAAAATTTAAAATAATTTCTTAAAGTTTCTTTCTTTCTTGAGAGAGACAGAAAGAGAAAAGAAAGACAGGCACTCTCAATAGGATCTCATACTTCAAATCACATTGTGACCAGGCCCTGTAGAGGGTACTTCTCTCTGACTTTTCTCTCTCTTTCTCTCTCATGCATATGAATATCTTCTATCATGAATAAAGAAAACAAAAAAATTTAAAATAATTTCTTAAAGTTTCTTTCTTTCTTGAGAGAGACAGAAAGAGAAAAGAAAGACAGGCACTCTCAATAGGATCTCATACTTCAATCCTCCCCCCTGCCTACTCCTCTAGTCAGAATCACAGCACACACACATGCTGGTGTGTATAGATTACCCTAAGAACTGAGCCCCAATCTACTCTATGGCCTCTAGCATTGTCAAGCATCACACTACCACTGTGCCACTGTGGCTGAATCCAATAACCATATTTTACTTTTCTAGGATAAAAGTACTAGCTTTTTTTATGTTCTCATTTCCTTTCAGTAAAGCCTTAAAACTCTTATTGAAAGTGAAAATAGAAAAAACAAAAAAACAAGCAAAAAAATCAGGGCCAGCATGTAGTATGGTAGTTGAGGCATTTGATTTCCAATATGGCTGACATGGTTCAAGTCCCAGACCCGGTGGCTTGAAAATCATGCTGCGCATGGGTGTATGCAGTATTCAGAATCCCAGGAGGAGAATAGAGAAGGGATATGTGGTGTGGCCATGTCCCCCTGAGGATGGTGATTTCTCACTTTCCCTCTCACTGTCTCTCTCTGCCTCTCTGGTGAGTGAACATGCCTTATGACAAAAACCTTAAAAAAAGAAAAGAAAAGAAAATAGATAAAAAATGTTTTAAAGAGGTAAAGGTCCTGGATGACACCCAAACAACTTCATCATTCAGACATTTATGACATAAATACCAAAACTTGGACTATCACATTTGATTTGTTAATGCCTAGTGAGAAAAATCCAGTTGTAGCTTTTATGTGAGTCAAATTAATTGTCTGTATTTAGCACTGAATTTTTACATTTGTATTTTCAATTTTAAAGGCTACATGTTAGTTAAACCTTTTTCTTAAGAAGTGAAATAACTTATACTGAGGTTGCTTGTATCTTTGGTGCAGCTAGTACTCAAAGCCTATTTCTCAGTAAGCCAATATCGTAGGCCAAAACTTTTGGTAACAAAAGAGTAAGTCCAACACATTTTACCTGATGGTATCAGCAATAAGATAAAAGATCATTCATTTACATATGTTTTCACCCCTCAGGTCTTAGCTATAGATAAAACAAGTGATTCCAGCAAATCTGTCATCATTAGCATCAAAGGAAAAACAGCTTTTCGCTTCAGTGAAGTTAAAGACTTTGAGCAACTGGTGGCAAAACTCAGGCTCAAGTGTGGGGCAGCTTCAATTCAATATCGTGATGTTAGCACAGAGGTAATTATATAGCAGTTGAATCATTTGGGAAGAGGAGGCTTGTGTTTATTGTCTATTTTCTCAAAAAAAATTCATAATACCTTTCCTATTCATAACTTGGTTTATTTTTTTAAAAAGACTAAATCTAAAGGAATTATGTTCTCTAATAGTATCAAAAAACAGAAGTGAGAGTTAAGACTTTATCCATTTTTAGGAACTCATACTTTTGAAATATCATTATAGCTTGATTTTTTGTTGCTATGTTTGTCATGCACCTTGTACATTCACATATCTTGGCTTTTAAACTCAAACTATATTTGAGAATTCAACAAAGCCTTGAAAATGGACTTTCCTGTTTGAATACCTTTTATTTATTATCCAGTAGATCGGACTTATTTGCCTAATCTTGCCCAAACCAAAATAGTAGCATGTCTATTTACCAGCAAAACATTAGAGGGCAAAGGCAGCTCCATGGCCCGATGGTTAAGGTAGCCAGATCCCTTATGGCTGACACTTTGAGTCCTAGGTCTAATGGCTTGAGAAACACACTGGGTGTACATGTGTGCCTGCCCAAAATCCCAAAAGGAGGGAGAGATAGAGAAGGGATTGTGGTATGACCATTCCCCGTGGGTTTTGGTTTCTTCTACTCCTTCCTCTCTGCCTGTCTGCCTGTCTGTCTGTCTGTCTCTCTCTCTAATAAGAATACATTCCCTCTGGAAATTTTTTTTTTTTAAAAATGGTAAAGAGAAAGCTTTTTAAACAAAACGTAACTCCATTTAATTTCTAAGTAATAATAATTGTAGCTAGTTTCTTTTATAGCTATACCTAGAATACTGAAACAGAAAAAAAAATTACATATTATTTTAACAAGCTAGTGAATTGTATACAAACGATAAGACTTTAAATCTTAAAGAGTCTAGATCAACAAGTATAAATAGAAATATAGACAGGACTTTAGCAACTGTTTTCTGAATATATCAGAGATGTGATACAAAGAGTGCATGCTCCCAGAAGTGATTGGAATTTTGCATAAGTACAGGTTCTGTATGAAGTTTTAAATAAGTGTCAATTAAAATGTTCCACATTTTGATAAGTTATGCAAAAAACGTGAGTTTTACAAAATTATCAAGTGCTTGGAAAACATTGCTCTTTTACTTTTATTGACACAGATAATCAAGAAATATTACTAGTCATTTTTCAAAAATATTGAATGAAAGAAAAATGTAACTTTTCAGTTTCGTTTTAAGCAAAGTGGCCTAAGAATGGAAAGCACTATTGAAGGTTCATTACTTAATGCTTTTTAAGCTGCATTACAAATGAATTTTAGGAACCATGGAATGTCAAGAAACATAGAAATTGACCTTATACCTTGAAATATTTAGATGGACAAATAAGTATTTAATATAAATTATAGATTATCCAAGCATGTGTCAACATACTTGTTTCATCTTTTCTCATAATCAGCACTATAATACTAAGTTTTTAAGTTAGAATTAATGTTTTTTTAATCTGATACAATAATGTAGAATAGTAGTTTAGCATACATAATGAATTTTTGTTTGCCTTAATAAGAATAAGGAAAGCTGCTTGAGTTCCCTGTATATTTTAGTCATTAATGTCCTGGACTAATATACAGTGTATTCGTGCTGGGGAAAAAATTTTAAAAATAAAAGAATTAAGGTAATGTGTATCCTGTGACTATAATTTAAATTAGAAAAGGATATTTCAGTACAAGAGGGTAGATTTCTTCCCTTTTTTTTTTTTGAATGGTTTTTGCTATAGGGCACGTGCACTTGCCAGAAAGACAGACAGAGACAGAGAGACAGAAAGTGAGAAATCACCCCCAAGGGGGTATGGCCATGCTACAATCCCTTTTCTTCCATTCTCCTCTGGATCTTGGACATGCACGCATGTGTGCCCAGCATGAGTTTAAGCCACCAGGTCCAAGACTCAAACCGCAGTCGACTACATGGGATTCCAGCAATGTAGACATTATGCCATCTGCTGGTTCCAAGGGCAGGTTTATTTCTAAGTTAGGAAGTCAGAAATATTAAAAGTAAATTAACATCTAATTTTAAGTTATGAGCTATAAAGAGGAGCATATTTGGGCCAGACCTTGGAGTGGTGGTTAAGGGAGCTAGGTCCCACATGGCCTTCTGTGCAGTTTGAGCCCCAGACCTGACAGCTTGAGAAACCTGCTTGTGTGTGCATGTGTGCCCAAAATTTCAAAAGGAACATGAAATGGAAAAGAAGGGACTGCAGTGTGAGTATCCCCCATGGGAGGGTGCTCTCTCTCTCTCTTTCTCTTTCTCTCCCTGTCTCTGTTCAGTGATTGCACATACCCTTTCACAAATGAAAAAAAAAAAAGTGGACCGTATTTCAGATAAGCCTCTTGTATTTTAGAGAAGTATTTCTTTGATTTTTTTGTTGTAATTTTGATTGGCTGATGAGTACCAAGTTTATTCCAGTCGTAAGTGCAAACACCCAAATAAATGAATATATGGAATTGGTGTGGCCATGGGGCAAAACCTCACATTCAGAAGAGCCATACAGAAAACAAAAAAGTTAAAAAAATAAGTATATTTTCTTGAATAATCTACTTTATAATATTATTTAAATGATTCAAAGTTAAATTGCTTTTAGCTACCATCTTTGAAAGTGAATATGTTATGTGATTTATGAATAATTAAGTGTTCAATTATGTGATTTATGAATAATTAAGTGATCATGTATAGGACTGGCATGCATGTCATCACTGTCATAAATTAGTATTTGAAGTTTACCACTTAAGAGGCTATTTTTCTTTCTCTCTTGAATACTTTCTTTGTAGTTTAGATATATAGATGCTCCTCAACTTATGATGATGTTATATCCTGAAAAAGCCATTTTAATGTGAAAATATCATAAGTCAAAAATGCATTTAATGCACCTAACCTATTGAGCATCATACCTTACCCTACTTTAAATGTGCTTAGAACATTTACATTAACCTATAGTTGGGCAAAATCATTTAACACAAGCCTATTTTATAATAAAATATTGACTATCTCATATAATTTATTGAATACTGTACTGAAAGTGAAAAACAGAATGGTAATATGGAAAACCATACTCAAAGTATGCTCATCACTTTTTCATTATGTTAAAGTCAAAGAATTTTAAGTCAAACCATCATAAATCAGAGACCATCCACACAACCAGTTGACAAACTGATACCTCAGTCATGTGATTTAAACTAAAGGAATGTACCTTGCTTGAAATCCAAGCTACAACCATGTATTTTTCATTTTGCCAAAATATACCTCCTCATTAAAGCAGGTAAATTTCGCGGGACCAGCAATTGGCATAATGGCTCTGTCACTGGACTCCCATGTAGTCAACTGCTGTTCGAGTCCCAGACCCTGTGGCTTAAACTCACGCTGGGTGCGTGTGTGTGCATGCCCAAGATCCTGAGAGGAGAATGGAGGAGAAGGCACTGCAGCGTGGCCATCCCTCCGGGGGGCGATTTCTCACTTTCTGTCTCTCTCTCTCTCTCTCTCTCTCTGTCTTTCTGGCGAGCGCATACATCCTATAGCAAAAACCTTTCCAAGAAGAAGAAGGAAAAAAAAAAAAAAGGTTAATTTCAGACCAGCAGATGGCATAATGGTTATGTCGCTGAACTCTCATGTAGTTGACAGTGGTTCCAGTCCTGAACTGAGCAGCTTAAAAAAACTCACACCGGATACATCTAAAATCCCACAAGGAGAATGTGTAGGAGAGATTGTGGCATGGCCATACCCCTTGGGGAATGATTTCTCACCTTCTGTCTTTCTGTCTCTCCAGCGAACACATGCACCCTATAGCAAAAGTCTCTCTCCAAAAAACCCCACAAATTTAATATTAAGTAGTAAAGTAGGTAATTTGTCAAAATAAACCCATTGTTTTGTTTTTACTTTTGCTGTAGAACATTTGCACTTGCCAGAGATAGAGACAGAGACAGTGAGAGGGAAAGTTAGGAGTCACTCACCCAAGGAAATGGCCATGACGTAGCCCCTTTTCCTCCATTCTCCTTGTGGGATTTCAGGTATGCACACATACACACACACACACACATTTGGCACAAGTTTCAATCAGCCAGGTCTGGGACTTGAACCATGATCGGCCATGTAGGAGTCCAGCACCGTAACCACTATGCCACTTGCTGACCCCATCAAAATAAGGTTTTTAAAAAATTATTTTAATTGCTAGAAGGTACATGTGCTCACCAGAGAGAGATGGAAAGACAAAGATGAAGAAAGCACCTCTCAATGGCGTGCGATCACACCACAATACTTTCTCCTCTATTTCTAGCCTGTCAGGACTTCAGGAATACACAAACATACACCCGGCATGTTTTGCAGATCGTGAAGCCTGAGACTCAAACTGCAGTCAGCTATGAGATCCAACTTCTCTTGAGTATAAGCCTATAGGCTGGCCCCAAATATGCTTTAAAAATAAAAAAGCGGAGTGGGACTGGGACTCTCTTGAAACTTGAGACATTGTACTCATTAGTAATTAGTTTTTCATTTATCAGCTTCTTCTACCTTACCCTTATCATCACCAATTGATCTGAACACTCATAACTTTCCCTGAAACCTGCATTAATTTCCAGTTATTCTGGGGCTTGTACTGGCTTCTTGGGTTTCAAATTAAAATACCAATGAAAGGCTCCACCCTAGGCTACTCCTTTTTCTTTTCTTCAGTTGTGGGTATTGTTTACATCTCACTTTATCTACCAAAGTTTAAGGGAGGACCTTACTGAGCTCTCCTTCTGCTTTTTAGCATTCCTAGTAGACCCAGGGATAGAGTATAATACAGAGTAGCTGGGTAACTGGTATGTTTTAAAAGTAAGACTTTGAAGATGATAAAATTTGTATGAAAATTTAAGGGACTCAGAATAGCTCAAACAGGGCCAGTAGGTGACATGGTGTTTAAGATGTTGGATCCCACATGGCGAGCTCTGCAGTTCAAGTCTTGGACCTGGAGACTTGAAAAAACACACT